CTTCAATCTGTTGCTTGTCTCGATTTTTTCGTAGTAGTTCCAAATTGGTGATCTTCATTTGGTGACCGGCATTGTGTTCCTGTGGGCCGCCTTCTGCTTCTATAGAGATAATGTAATGGTCACTGCCCAAGTCTTGCATGGTGTTTCTCCAAGTCACCTTTCGTGTATTGCACGTAAAGGTAAGGTCAGGCGTGGTGTCAGTGCTGACGCTGTTGCCCTGCCTAGTTGCTGCCGCTGGGTCAGTGACCAGCTCGAGGCCGGCGAGTTGCGCCGTTTCCCACAAATGCCTGCCTTTCGGCTGATCGTGTTTGTAACCCCATGCCGTATGCACCGCGTTGAAGTCGCCTCCAATGAAGAGTTGTTGCCCCGGGGCGATATCGAGTGCTCGTTTGAAAAGGACGTGAAAGCGGTGTTTGCGGCATCTCGGACTGCTATAGACGTTGAGTACGAAGATGCTGTCGGGCGTCTTACGCGTTGAAATTAGCTCTACGAGGACATTTTCAATATCCTTGACATGGGTGTCGTGTTCGATGACCGTGAGCTCTCGCTTGACCAGTGTGGTGACGTTTGGATTTTCCTCCTTGCGTGTTATAGACTGGTACCCTGCAAGTTTGGCGGGGCCGTTTGTTTCCTGCAGTATGATGACGTCTGGGCATTCGGGGATCGTTTTTAGGTATTGTTGTAGGTGCGCTCGTTTGTTTTTGTAACTTCTGCAGTTCCACTGCCATATTGTATGTTTTTGTTTCGAAGGGTGTCTTGCCATGGTTATGTGGTACTACATGTGTGGCACCGCTTTGCTATGTGACGTCACCAGTGCGCTGTTGGCAGCTTCTAATCTGGACAATCTGAGATAAATGCTCTCCAAGCTCTGTTGAATCGTACGCGTGATAGTCGCGGTGATAGTTTCCTCAAGACTGCTCACGCGAGCGTCGAGTGCCTTCACTCGGGTGTCGCCTGTTGCTGCGCGCGTACGCTTGGAACGTACTGACTTTTTAAGGGAGATAGCCGGCCCGCTTTAGTATCAGGGCCTTCGACCTCACCGTCCTCTACGAGTTCTTCTTGTGTTTCCTGCATTGCCTGTTGATCAGTCTCATTGTGAGCAGCAGACTGGAGCTTTTGTATGAGTTAGTCCTTTGCGTGAATCTGTGCCTGCATGCATTCAATTTGTTTTTGCATAGTTTATATCGTCTGTGTTAACTGAGCCATCTCCGCCTCTATCTTAGCGTGTATTTTGCCGCCAGCCTCCGCGTTTGTTGCGCGTTTTCCTTTGACTGCATCTGCAAAGCTCACCGAATCAGTTGCCTTCGCGTCCCTCGTTGGGGTCCGTCCAGGTGTTCGGCTGCGAGCTCGGCGTTGTTGCTGCTTTCGGGGTCCCAGTGTGCAGCTACGAGATCGGGAGTGGCTTCAACTGGGGGTCCTGGATCTTGAGCGGGGCTTGCTGGTGGAATAGTTGTTGGCAGTGGCCTCTGCCTTCTCGTTGGCCCTGCGTCGTTCCCACTGTCTCTTCGTCACAACGTAGGGCGTTTTGTACCTTGCACGGCAGTTGCGGTCCGCCGTCATGTGTGTGCTCCCGCACAGCTTGCAATGGGGGGAACACTGGTGGTTGGGGCCTGGGTTAGGGGCGTCACAATCATGACACACTTTGTCCGTGGGCTTTGGGCACACGTCCATGCGGTGACCAAGTCTCCCGCAGCAGTGACACATGTCGATTTGCTTGCGATACAAGGTGCAGCGAAGGACAGCGCCGCCATGATTGACGTAAGTAGGCACTCGCGGTCCTTCAAACGCCACTATGACGGTCGTGGTGTTACTGAGCCATTTGGCTGCCAGGGCGTAAGGGTTACGTGCGTGAACGATGCTGGTATGAATGGACTTGGCGTCTTTTTCTAACGGGATGCCCTTGATTATTCCCTTCACCGTGTTGTCGGGGGCCGTCTCGTACACACTAACCTCGTGGTGGCGGTAGCCGATAGTGATGGCTTGAAGCTGTCTGTACTTATCGGCGTGAGAGGCATGGGGTGTGCTCACGACGATGATGTTTTGATGGTTGTTGGAACACACCGTGTCCTCCCCTGCTTCATGAGCCGGTACGTTGGCCGCGTGGTAAATTGCCGATGCGAGGCGCACGGTTCCAATGGTGGCCACCTCGAGGCCTCCTCGTGGTCGTATCACGATCTTGAAATTGCTCCGTGGGAGTAGTGGCATTTTGCTCTTTTTAATGACTTGCTGCTTGATGTTACGCGGTTGTCGACGCGAACGCTGTCGGTTGAAGTCCGCTCCCTCGCCGGTGCAGGAGGGGGCTTCATTCTGGGTGTTGCTCTGCGCGTTTGCGCGGTTAACTTGGGTCTTAGATCCGATGGTGCACCGATCCGTGCCCTCCAGAAACTCTTCGGGGGAGATATTCTCCCCGTTCACTTGGACTTCCATCGTTGTTGGGCGAAGAAAGCACCCGCGTCAGAGGAAACGCTCAGTGCGTCTCGTCGAGTGGCTGGTTTTCGTGAGCGTCGGGCCTAAAGGGCTCAGGTTGAAAACCTCTCAAATCCGGCAAAAAGTCCTTTCCCACCTTGAATTTTGATGTCACTGGAATCCTGGTCACTTTCCGCACGCGTTGTTGTAAAATTCTAGGGCTGAATCTAGATACCTCAAGGTATCTATCTTTTTTTCACGGCAGACCAACCCGTCATAAGCATTCTCATACTCTTGTATAATACTCTTTTAACACTAATTGCTTTAAATACTCATTTTTTTCTGTAACTATCAAAGATTGGAACTCGCTGAAACCCACCTTAAGCACTGAATCATTCATAAACTTGTTTACAGCTGCGATTGAAAGCGAATTGCTTGCCTCGCAAATCGCACTAATATCACATCATTAATATAGAAAATAAACGAGTCAGTGTCATATTGCTAATACAAAAGTTTTGTTATTTATGGTTGTTATATTTAAGTGACATGTTTTTCGATTAGTTTATTGTTCATAAAATTATTTGAATAAGTTGTTCAATAAAAATGCCTACTTGTTTTCCGTACCCCATATTACAAATGCATGCATTACCTTTTCGTGGTCGTTTTCAACGATAACCTTGCTCGTGATATTGTTTTGCTGTTACGAAAATTGTTTGATTGCGTGTTCTTTAATGGCAATGTATAACCAGAGTCCTTCAATGCTTTTCTGGTCACGAAACTCCGGCCGAAGTTTCATTCAGGGACAAAAGCTGCCGCTAGGATCGCCCCTGTTAGCGTGAAGGCTTCGCCGGCGGCCGGCGACGCTTGCGGGCCGGCTGTTTCTCCATCGGCAATGCGCCTAATTTCATCTGTTCTTCATTTCCACCTGTAAAAACGTGACCTGTAAAAGCGCGAGCGACGCGAGCGAAGTGTGCATGTTTTTGATTCAGTTGACGCTTAGCTGTGAAATAGAGGCAAGGCCACGCGTGTTACTGAGTCGTATATGTTGCAGCGTTCGTTCGTTGCGGTAGTCACGGCCGCTACGTTCTCGCTTTGAGAAGGAGGACATCTGGCGTTTTCGATTTTTGAGTTGTCTTTGCAGTTTCCTGCATTTGAGTTAACTAGCACCAGATTTAAATCGGTATATACAGCCCTGGGCGACATGCTGCGCTTAGCAAATAGGTGTGCAAACGTACAGCACGTTGGGTTAGCGCTGTGTCTGCGCGATTTTATAGCGCGCTAATAATGTAAAAAATAATCTAGGTTTGGAAAGTGAGCATCAACATGATGAAGAAAAACGCTCACGAAATGGAAGCAGCATAATGAGCGCGCGTAGGAGTAAATGCTACACACTTGAGCGACTTTCCCGGCTGTCAACATAGGTATAGGGTGTCAACAGAAAAACTCGTATGGTCAGTGTCTGACACACTCGTCCCATCAAAACGACAAGTTAATTGATTACTTGGTTATGAGGTTTAACGCGCTGATGCTATGCAGGCAATCGGGCGCGCGCCGTAGTGTAGCCAGAGTCCTTCAAGCATTGAAGGACTCTGGTGTAGCTCTCCGGAATAATTTTAACCACCCAAGTATCTTTAACATGCGCGGGAATCTCTAAAACACAGGCATTTTCTCTTTTCGCCTCCATCAGAAAAGCGGCTGGGAACCCGCGTCCTTGGGCTCATCATCATCAGCACAACGCCCTAGCCCCTGAGCCACCGCGTCGGGGACACTAAAAAAAATTAAAAAAGAAATACAGGCAAAGCTAGCCATGCTCCGCTTTGCAAATTCAAAATACCTGATTGGATAATCAAAATGTCCTCGCCATGGATTTGGTTCCGCCACAGAGATGACAGTAACCTGACTGGCCACTTGCTGATCGTCGCAGGCAGCTGCCAAGCACATGCAAATGACTAGAAAACGCGCCGCAGCTGTGGTGCAAGTGTTTATTCATACAAGTTTACGGGAATAGCATGGCGGATAAAGGAAATAAACAACGTCACACAAGCAACTAGGAACACAAATGTGCAAGTGTTTTTTGTCACTAGCAAACACAAAACACAACAGTTGGGCTTTACATAGCAAGACAAACAGAACATCTGCTACCCATGGGGCTTGTTGCCACCATTTGCTGGGCAGTTTGCTCGCCGCGTCGCTCGTGTCAGCTTGTTTTTTTCCCTGGTGTAAAAGTGCAGGCGGCACCTCAAGAAAAAATGAACAACCTCTGCTGTGGTACCCACATAGTGCAACCTACAGCCCACACCAGCAGAAGCAATGCGTCTGTCGAGCAAAACTTGGTCAACAATGTTCGCATACACATCGGCACATGCAACTGTGTCCACAGTCAGTTCTTCAACATGTCCTTCCACAATGCGCAACAGGCTGAGAAGCTGGGATGAGGGCACTTGCAGGAATCCTCTTGACTTCTTCTGGATTAGGTCAGTTGGCTCTCGTGTCTGGCTCTTGAGTGTTCCCACGCAGTCAGTGCAGCTTATCGTTGAAAACTTCTTTACCACGTAACTGGCAAGATAATCAAGAATGCACTCTTTGGTGGAGAGGGTAACGTCAGGCACGGATGCATTGTTCACTGCCTCTCCCGGCTCCTCAAGAACGTCATCAAAGAGGACCGCCAACATGTCAATCTGCAAAATACATTCCAAGTTTCAAATCTTTCAATGTATAAGTTGAGATTCGTAAATGCAAAAACACATTATGTTTCATTTACTTATTTGGTCATTTGTGTAGTGAAACTGCTCCTGAAAAAAAGAAACTAGAGCTAATAAATAAAAGCAAGGGGCACGTTACCTGACTGGAGGCAGGTTTTCCCTTGTCAAAGAGGCCCTGGAGCTTGAGCAACAGCTGGGGTCCATCTCCCTCGACCGAGGCCCGTTTTGGCGGCCGAACTAGGTTGTTTACAGAGAGCATCCGATAGATGAACAAAAAATGTTGCACAGTCGGCTGCCCTCCGTCACCAGCAACATGCCTGACGATGCCGAAAAACCTCTAGAAAGAAAAAATCAATTTATCGCAACAATGAGAAATTCATAGCACATTTATACACATAAAAGTCATCATGTTTACCTCTAGAGGATCTTGTCCGAAGTTCCCAACGAGAACGTAACGAAACCCAGACAACAGCAAGCTCTCGATGAGTGCAACTGAGCTATGCAGTGTCAGTCTGAGGGCTCCACATGTCTGCTTACTCAGAAAGCAGACTTGCCTCTGGGTCGGTAATGTCTTGATGTATTTCTCCCAGTTGTCCAGCCATGCAATGCTGTCCTTCAACACCTGGAATAAAATTATGCTTCATCTATAGTACACGAAAAACACTTCATAACACATGTAATAATCTCACAGCAATGTGTTGTGCTTCGTTGAATCGAACATGGTCTGGCCTCCGAGAGTTCAGGCAGTCGAACAGCTTGTTCAATGTTCTTGTGAATTGCGATGTTGCAGCCGACCCATGGAGCTTCTTGCAGTCTTCCTGCTCGCTATAAAACTCCATGGCCGAAGCAGTACTCTCACTGAACAGCTGTAAAATGTGTGGAAAAAAAGGATTTTAAGTTTACTTCCCAAAACGTGTGAGCAGATGTTTTTGAAATACACTTTGCACTGAACATAGCTGCGTGCATGACTTGCCTGGACAGCCAACTTCACGCTCATCTTTTGGAACGCATTGGGAAAAATATGGGCTTTCGTAAACTTCGGTACAGCCCGGAGTCCAGCCTGTTCTTCTTCATAGTCCAGTAAGTCCTTGTAGTGACAGTGGAACACCTCCTGTCCTTGAGGGAGCTGCAACATAAGGACAAGTGACAAATTTTTTTTTTAAACTGAATAGTTTATGCACAGGTCAAGGCATTCACATGCAACTTTTTTTTACTTACCAAAAACTTGCCCACTTTGAGCAAGTTGTTTCTGATGCACTTAAATATGTGCGGTGGATCAATTACAACGTGGACTTGCTTTGAGGGCTCACACGGGTGTTCAAAACACGTTTGAAGCTTGTGCATGTCCCCGTTGACACCTTGAGAGAAAAACAGTTTAATAGTACACTTGTTTTTCTACTACATCACTAACCACAGCTAAATAAAATTTGAAAAGACGTACCCAGAGATCTCAAGGCTGATTGGTTTGATGTGGAGTTGTCGCAGGTCACTGCGTCAACAACAACACCAGCGTTTGTAAGGTGAACAATGCACTGCAAAAGGAGCTTCGCCACGATTGATCCTGGGGCAGCACCAGAAGCACAAAATGTGCCCACAGTTTGTGACCACCCTCCCAGAAAAGGCCGAAACAGAAAGACCAGCACGTGGTCGCCGTCTTTGCCATGGTCACCTGGTCATGTGTGTTCGGCGAAATCCACCTTGCCCAGCAGTGCCATGTCCGACTCGCGAATGTGGACGCTTTTTCTGACGCTCATTTCATCGAACATGAGCTCTCCTGGAAAGTTTTGGGTAGGTTAACATCTTGTCTCAATTGCGCTGCTGAATATAATACAATTATAAAAATGAGTACTGCTTCTTACCTCGACGCTCTCTTTCTGGAACTGCTTCTAGCTTTTCACACAGAACCGTGAACAAAGTACTGTCGAAGCCAAAATCAGCTTTCTGATTTCTGAGGTAGCCATAGAGGGTGCGGGAATTTGGAAGGGGCAAAAATTCATTTTCATGAAGAAAAGTGTAGACTGCTGTGGACTTTATCTTTAGCAGCAAGCAGTCATAAATCCACTCTTTTTTGTACCTGGAGAGAATGAATTGCAAATTTGTTTTCCACAATGAGCGTGTTGGAAACTATTCATGCAAAGCAAAAAATAATGAGAATGGTGTTATAAAAACTGAAGAAAGTATATTTGCCCAAACAAACCTGCAATTTTTCCCGAAATTAGAAATAATACTACACAAAACGGCCAAACCAATGTCTGCCTCAATAGCATATTGTTTTGCGGTACAACAGATACAAATACATGATGAATAAATGAAGGCTACACCTTGAGATAACATTTTCAAACGCAAAAGGGGCAATCCAATAGCAATGTTACGTGTGTGATGGGGTATTTGGAACTTACCGCGCAGCTGTTGCAGACTTCGCGTTGGCTTTCATGAGCCAGTGGTCAAAAATGAGCTTCTCGCGAGCCGAAAGCTTCTGAACGTCTTGGTGCGATCTTCTGCTCCTATTCGCTTGCACTGTCAATTTCGCAATCTTCACTTGGCACAAACGAAGTTGCTGCTTAGTGCTTCGAAGCTGGTCTTTAACTGCGTGGAGCTCTGAGATGGAGCAGACATTTCCCTCTGTCTGGCATGCCATCTCTGTGCAGCTTCCAGTGCTTATCACTCCACCTGTCAAACGAAGAAATATGGATCAATATAGTGCGACATCACGCAGCACACAGGCAATACAGGCTCTCAACATAGTGAAAGAAGAAAACAAGGCAACGCGAATGGAGGCTTACCATCATCTCCGGCTGCTTCAGGATCGCAGGGCTCTGTGCTGGAGCTCACAGAAGCTGCAGTGCCATCGTTGTTCGGCAACGAAACGCGACGACGTTTTGCAGGCAGGCGGATTTTCTCGCTGTGAGCGCGACCGTGGCTTGGGCTTCGTAAGATACGCCGGCAGGTTTTCAAATATCCGGGGTATGGCACCGACGCGGAGCTTAGGCTTCTCGCGCTGCAGAAGCACAGATTGTCCACTTATGCTGAACTCATCGGCTCGAATAATGTCCGTGGTGTCGAAATGTTTCTCGCACACACGAACGGCCTTCGACTCGAAATTGAAAGCGCCCGTCTCCTGTTGTGGAATGGCTCGCTTCCACCTGTCGCGTTGTTCGCGGTCGCTTGGGAGGCAGAACAGCGAAGCTTTTTCTGTACAACTCCGATAGCCAGAGCGGCAACCAGGTACGCAGCACGTCAGAGGCATGGTAGTTCACATAGTTTGCCGTCCATGATGAGTGTAGACAGCTATACCACACAACAAACAAACCAGTAAGCTCGCGCTACAACGCACTGCAAACGCTGCAAATGCGGCCGCCGCCGTCCAAGCCGCCTTCACCAGACTCGTAGCGCCACCGCACGGGAGCTTTGATCCCCATATGAAGCTCTCCCATAGCGTTACGGAGAAGTTTCGTGACCAGAAAAGTATTGAAGGACTCTGGTATAACCTATGATTTGCATGTCATTTTGTAATACCGGCTTTTTTGTGTTTTCTATCAATATGAATCTGTGTAAACAAATATTCGTTTTCATATGCCTTCCATGCTATAATCTCTGATGAGATGTGCAGTATTGTTAAATAAATAAATAAATAAATAAATATGCACCAAAATTGGTATTGCATGATCTGGCTGTATGATGAATATTGACGAATATAACTGACTGGTGGTGATATGAAACTCACGTCAAGAATGTCATGTAGCACAACATGATTTACATGCCGCACTCATGGGGTACTTGCGTCATGTTCCCTAGGTTCATATGCACCAAAATTGGTATTCGGTGATCTGACTGTATGATGAATATTGATGAATACAAATGATTGAATATTGAGGAATATAAGTGATTGGTGGTAATATGAAAATTATGTCAGGCATGTCATGTAGCACGACTTGATTTACATGTAACACTGATTTACATGCAACACTTGCTTCGTGTTCCTTAAGTTGATATGCACTAAAATTGGTATCGTGTGATCTGACTGTATGGCGAATATTGGAGAATATAAGTGATTGGTGGTAATATGAAAACAACGTCAGGAATGTCATGTAGCACAATATGATTTACATGCCACACTCATGAGGTACTTGCATCGTGTTCCTTAGCTTGATATGCACCAAAAATGGTATTGCATGATCTGGCTTTATAATGAATATTGACGATATAAGTGACTGGTGCTAATAATAAAATCACGTCAGGCATGTCATGTAGTATGTGATTTACTTGCAGCACTCATGGGGTACTTGCGTCATGTTCCCTAGGTGGATATGCACCAAAATTGGTATTCGGTGATCTGACTGTATGACGAATATTGATGAATCTAAATGATTGAATATTGAGGAATATAAGTGATTGGTGGTAATATGAAAATTATGTCAGGCATGTCATGTAGCACGACGTGATTTACATGCAACACTCGTGGGGCACTTGCTTCGTGTTCCTTAAGTTGATATGCACTAAAATTGGTATCGTGTGATCTGACTGTATGGCGAATATTGGAGAATATAAGTGATTGGTGGTAATATGAAAACAACGTCAGGAATGTCATGTAGCACAATATGATTTACATGCCACACTCATGAGGTACTTGCATCGTGTTCCTTAGCTTGATATGCACCAAAAATGGTATTGCATGATCTGGCTTTATAATGAATATTGACGAATATAAGTGACTGGTGCTAATAATAAAATCACGTCAGGCATGTCATGTAGTATGTGATTTACTTGCAGCACTCATGGGGTACTTGCGTCATGTTCCCTAGGTGGATATGCACCAAAATTGGTATTCGGTGATCTGACTGTATGACGAATATTGATGAATCTAAATGATTGAATATTGAGGAATATAAGTGATTGGTGGTAATATGAAAATTATGTCAGGCATGTCATGTAGCACGACGTGATTTACATGCAACACTCGTGGGGCACTTGCTTCGTGTTCCTTAAGTTGATATGCACTAAAATTGGTATCGTGTGATCTGACTGTATGGCGAATATTGGAGAATATAAGTGATTGGTGGTAATATGAAGACAACGTCAGGAATGTCATGTAGCACAATATGATTTACATGCCACACTCATGAGATACTTGCATCGTGTTCCTTAGCTTGATATGCACCAAAAATGGTATTGCATGATCTGGCTTTATAATGAATATTGACGAATATATGGTGCTAATAATAAAATCACGTCAGGCATGTCATGTAGTATGTGATTTACTTGCAGCACTCATGGGGTACTTGCGTCATGTTCCCTAGGTGGATATGCAGGTGGATATGAGTGGGCAGTGGAACGGAGCGGCCGCCACCATGGTCTCATCCAACCACTTTTTGCTTTTTGTACAGTTGTTCGCAGTCATCAGCACGAGCTCGCCAGACTGCGTGGAACCACATGCGCCTGGCACGCCAAACGGCACGTGCCCTCCCCAGCCCGAACCGAGCCGTTGTTGCCCGGAGCCACTTCAACCTCCCTTTCCGGTAACCCCTTACGCTGCCACCAAGCCAACCGCATCGACATCGTCAAGCCACCCAGAAAACTACAAATACAGCCAGCCTTGCACCGCGCGCCTCAGTGGGCAGTGGAACGGAGCGGCCGCCACCATGGTCTCATCCAACCACTTTTTGCTTTTTGTACAGTTGTTCGCAGTCATCAGCACGAGCTCGCCAGACTGCGTGGAACCACATGCGCCTGGCACGCCAAACGGCACGTGCCCTCCCCAGCCCGAACCGAGCCGTTGTTGCCCGGAGCCACTTCAACCTCCCTTTCCGGTAACCCCTTACGCTGCCACCAAGCCAACCGCATCGACATCGTCAAGCCACCCAGAAAACTACAAATACAGCCAGCCTTGCACCGCGCGCCTCAGTGGGCAGTGGAACGGAGCGGCCGCCACCATGGTCTCATCCAACCACTTTTTGCTTTTTGTACAGTTGTTCGCAGTCATCAGCACGAGCTCGCCAGACTGCGTGGAACCACATGCGCCTGGCACGCCAAACGGCACGTGCCCTCCCCAGCCCGAACCGAGCTGTTGTTGCCCGGAGCCACTTCAACCTCCCTTTCCGGTAACCCCTTACGCTGCCACCAAGCCAACCGCATCGACATCGTCAAGCCACCAGAAAACTACAAATACAGCCAGCCTTGCACCGCGCGCCTCAGTGGGCAGTGGAACGGAGCGGCCGCCACCATGGTCTCATCCAACCACTTTTTGCTTTTCGTACAGTTGTTCGCAGTCATCAGCACGAGCTCGCCAGACTGCGTGGAACCACATGCGCCTGGCACGCCAAACGGCACGTGCCCTCCCCAGCCCGAACCGAGCCGTTGTTGCCCGGAGCCACTTCAACCTCCCTTTCCGGTAACCCCTTACGCTGCCACCAAGCCAACCGCATCGACATCGTCAAGCCACCCAGAAAACTACAAATACAGCCAGCCTTGCACCGCGCGCCTCAGTGGGCAGTGGAACGGAGCGGCCGCCACCATGGTCTCATCCAACCACTTTTTGCTTTTTGTACAGTTGTTCGCAGTCATCAGCACGAGCTCGCCAGACTGCGTGGAACCACATGCGCCTGGCACGCCAAACGGCACGTGCCCTCCCCAGCCCGAACCGAGCTGTTGTTGCCCGGAGCCACTTCAACCTCCCTTTCCGGTAACCCCTTACGCTGCCACCAAGCCAACCGCATCGACATCGTCAAGCCA